GGTCAAGTAAACCATATTCCGTATGTAAACCGATATAACCCGCGCTCTTACGCTACATGTTGAATGATAATAAAGATATTTCTTATTTTAAATTTATTTTAAAAAAATTAAAATTAAAATTTAATTTATTAATATTTAATTAAATTTTTTTATTTGATAATAATACTAAAATTAATATTAATTTTCATTTTTTTTTTATATACTTATGACTAAAAAAATTTTTTTAACTTGAATTCTTATGATATATATTAGAAAAATTCATATAAATATTAATATTAAAAATAATATAAATAATTTAGCGATAGTAGTATTACTTTAAAGATAATAGATTTTGAGTACAAATTATATTTTTGATATATCTAAATGTGCTATATAATAGTAGATAATTTTTTTTTTTTTAAATCTCTCTTCGTTTATTCAAAATTTAGATTTGAGATTTTTAATTTTAAATCTCAAACTCTTAACTTCAAATATCAAAATTTTAATTATTAAGTCACCTTATTTAAGTTTTGAGTATAAATTATATAATATATGAATATATTAACTTAAGAGATGAAAAGTAATTAATTCTCATTATATAATGAAAGATTAACAATAAAAAATATATTAATACTGTTAATAGTCCAATAACCCTGCGTTAGTTAAAGTCGCAGGCTCATGACATGTAGTCAAAATATCATTAAATTCATTTTAAGTAAGCAACTAACCAATAATTAACAGCTGTAATGTCATGTCCTTAAACTACACCCAAAAAAAAGCGGTTATGTTCCAAACGGCGTGTAAGGTAAAAAGGCTACCGCAAGTCGGCCAAAAAAAAAAAAAAAGGGGTTTGGGCGGTTAAGTTTCTGAGAGTTTAAATTCCAAATGAGAGACCGCGTTGGAGTTTGGTTTGGCGGGAAACCGGCGAACTTCCCGCCAAACCGGACGGCGGTGGGGCCAGTCACGGCGGATATCTCTACATCAACAAAAAGGGCGGATAATTGTGAAGGACGAAAAAGGGGCAGTAGGGGACCACGGCGGGGTAAAAGTTTATTTTGAGCCCTCGTCCTATTAAATTTGAAGATTTTTGTTTTTTTATTTTATATTATGATATTTTAATTTTTTGTTTTATTAAATTTATAAATTTTAATTTTTTATTTTATATATGATATTTTTAATTCTTTATCTACTAAAATTAAAAAAAAAAAAACTGTCACTTTTTAACATTTTATTAATTATGTTAACTGACTGTTAATTCTATTAATTGACTATTAACTTATAAAAATCTGTTTTTTAGTTAATAAAGTTAACAAAACTAATTTTATAATATTTTATTAATTTTATTAACTGATTATTAGTTAAATATTAGTTGATAAAAATTTATTTTTAGTTAATAGAGTTAATAGTCAGTATAAAATAAAGGATATTTTTTTTAATTTTAATAAATGGTAAACTAAAACTTATAAATTTAATAATATAAAAGATTAAAAATATTATTATATATAATAAAAAATTAAAATTTCTAAACTTGATAAAATGGAGAGGTAAAAATAAGTTTTTTACCACGAGTGGTGCTGGAAAGCGCGTAGGTCGGGAGCGAATACTGCGAGGGAAGGAAACGCAAAAGGAATGGCCTTTTCCTTTCGTAACGACGGGGTGTTCAAGACTTTTTAAGTACGAGGAATGCCTGATGCCACGCGAATGACAGCTAATTAATTAACACGGGCTCGGCCATTGGCCCTTGAATTTGGCTCCTATATTTAACTTGTTGTTAATAAATTTATTTTTATAATTAATTTAAATAAAAATTATAAAAATTTAATTTAATTTTAATATTATTGATATA